AAATAAAAATGAATGACTATTGATAAATAATTTTGCATTGAAAGCAGAGTTTACTCATTCAAACTAATAAAAGTTTTCAAACTTAGCTTTATCAATAGTCATTCATTTTTATTCATCGATTGATCTTTTTGTATATTATAAACACAAATATATTTCAAATGAATTATTATTTGAATTCTCGCCGCAGATTAATATTACAGTATATTTTTGTACATTTAAAACTAATTACTTTTTATTTGATAATAGGACGAAAACAATATAATTAAAGTTAAAATTAACATAATGCGAAAGAAGGGAGGTTTTTACCTGGAACTTATTGAATATTTTAAGCAATTAAAATTCGAAATAGACCTTGATCAACAAATATTGGATCTGGTAAATATGATTTTAAAACACATGTTAAATCTCAATTAATTTTATCCACAAATAAATTAAAGTGATTGCGGTACTAAATAAAAGTAGATACCCCTCTAAATCCTGTTAGAAATCCTTTTACAGATAATACACTAAAATACAGACACGTGAGAAATAATATTGATAATTAATGACAATAATAAGAATTAATAACTTTATTTTCATGATATTAATATTGTTCAAGACTAACAAATTAAAATAAATAATTCCTATTAGAAACATTATACTTAAAATATATATTGATAAAATAATAAATCATATAATTATAACACTAAAAGTATTGTATAATAATATCTAAAATTTTTATATTATTCCACAGACGACAGCAATAATTCTGTTTAACCCTGATATCAATGGTCTAATAGACCGAGAGGCTATCAGGTAATTATCAATCTAATGATAATAATACAAAATATTTTAAATTATATTTTTAACTTACTAGTAATTAATTAAATTTTTACATTTACGACCAGGATGGAGCAACACAATTACATGCATTTACTGAAACGTTATCTACAAATCAAGTTCAGCTCTATATGCGAGTCAAACGGAAAGTTTTTGAGACTTTTAAATAGTTTACTCTTTTTGGGCTATATTGACAAAAGGATACGACAAACACATGCTGGCAGACCTCGCAATCAGATCCCTGACCTCGTACAAGAGATTCTGGACCTGGCTAATAATTGCCATTATAATAGCACTAGTGAGACTGAATATACCATCACTAATCTTCAATGATATCTATATTTCATTAGTTTTCATTATCAGTCTATCATTATGATACACTTATTTATATTAAAAATATATTCATTTAATTTGGTTATTCAAATACTGTATATGAACAACATTATTATTATTGTTGTTGAATATTCTGTAATAATACTATTACATTATAATAATACTAAAAATTTTATCGTAAACATGAATTATGATTAATAATTCTTGAATGATTTTATTCTACATTACTTGTAGGTAAGGGTGCAAGGGTGAAATGTTTCATAAAAACCTTAAAGAATTCATATATTTTACTGAATTATTTAACCTGAAATAAAATTTCAATAAATTTGCCCAGAGTTATCACCCTTTTTATAATTTTAATTGTTTTCCCAATTAATTTATACTATTGTACATTCATTATAGATAGACACTAAAGTCCTTGCTTTTATAAAACACGAATTTATGAAACATCTATAAATATTAAATATGTTTTATTATAAAAGTGATAATAGATTATTGATTACGTTTAATGAACTAAAAACAAGGCTTAGAAAAAATATTTCAGAATTACGATTTCATATATCTGATGTTCACAGTGTGTAGAATCTACACTGTAGATATTATTTAAATCATAAATACATTTAATTGTAATTAATTTATTTATAAAATATATAAATTATCTATCAAAAAGTTAAATATATATTTTTAAAAATTTCTTATTATTTTTAATTGTTTACTAGATTTTTTAAAAACCTATATAATATACTTCTTATTCAGGTTCAGACAATTTGATAACAAGCCATGAATTGAAATGTTGCCATAGAAATGTGAATGAATGGCAGTTAGTTTTATGTATAAATGAATATTACTTCATAAAACTTATGAATTTCATAGGTTTCCACCTCTGGGTACATTTTACGATTAAGAATTTGTTGCAAAAAAATATAAATTTAATAAATAAAAAGTAAAAGTAAGCGTAATGTCTATAAATAAATTAATAAAAGCGTGTATAATATGTGGCGATAAGGCAACGGGTATGGGTGTAAACAATTAATTTAATACATAATTTTAATTAATTTTTCTCATTTAGGCTATAATTTCAATGCACTCACGTGCGAGTCATGTAAAGCATTTTTCAGGAGAAATGGGCTCAAGGTATGTTTAATTTATATACTGTATTTAAAATTATTCTGGTTAATTCACATAATAATAAACAATACATAATTTTATGGCTAGCTTAGGAATATTTCCAAACCAAACTATTAAAACTAATATACATTTAACAGGGCATCAAAAGTTGTAACTTTGATGACAATTGTGTAATCAATTTGAAAACCCGAAGGATATGTGGTTATTGTCGACTTAAGAAGTGTTTTGATTGTGGTATGAAAAAGGTTAGTTAATAATTTACATTGATTGATTTCTAAATTAAATAATACAATACTATTAATAAGTATAGTTTTCTTAAGTTCAGTGCCATTTTATCGATCTGTTACCTAAATTGTAGCTTAATGTCTGCATATGCCGTAAAAGTTCATCGACTTATTCGTTATAATGTTAATTAATATCATTTTAATGATGCTTTTAGTTAGTACCATAAAACCCAAGTGTTTCAACTTATAAATAACAATATGTTATAATTGTTAGAAAACTCTATTATTAACCAAAAAATTATATTTCCCCAAAGGGTATCCCACAGATTTTGATATACCGGTACTAGTAAAGTAAAATAAACATTATATAAATAATTATATGTAAAATAACTAAATACAGTACAATGAAATATATTTAATAACTTACAATTTAAAATATAAACCCGACTTCACTTTACAATTATATAGGTAATTAAAATTAATTATAAAATATCATAGATTTATTGAATTACTTGAATACATATTGAAATATTAATGAAACACTTATTGTCGGCAAACATAGGACTGGATCTGGAATGAAGAGGCGAAGGAATGCCGGCGAATGAAGATTCAAATGAATAGATTTAGACGTCTATTAGTGCAACAAAAACAGCTCAATGAGAGCGTGTCGTCGACCACCCTTTCCCACGATTCTTCACCCGAGCCTATGACCAGCCTATTGGACATTAGGCATCCCGTCCCTCAATCCACGAACATATCATTCATACTAACAGTGATGGCAAACAACAACAACAATCATAATGTTTTAACCGATGGGCTAACAAATTCAGACACAAATATGTTTCCCATTTGTGACACAATATACCAAAAGGCGGTTCAAATGGAAATGGCTGTCCTTCCCATCGCCAGACCTACTCTCGACTCTGACCATACATTTAGCGAATTAGAAGGCAATCGATTCACGGAATTACTATTTGCCACAAAATGCATGAAAAATGAATTGAAAACTATATACACATCGGAGGTGTTCTCAGTCGACGACTATTTCGTGACATTAGACCAGAAGTGCGAACAAGAAGTGCGCAAATTAATCAAATCGTTTAAATCATTGATGACAAAGTTGCTCTATACACTCGTCCTAGCATTATGAGAGTAGTTTAGTGTTACGCAAGTCTAAATATTTGAGTCTAGTCAACGTATAAAACTACTTAAGTTACTCACGACCTTATAACTCGACCATGATTGACATTTTTATATTTTACTCTATCTGTATGATAATTTAAATAATATAATACATCTAAAATCTACTTTACTTTTCAGTGTTTTCTCGGCTTTTCTATAAATATATTTGAAATGTATTATTTGATACAGATTTTAATTACAGGATACTTTTGTACATTTAAAAGATTAATGAAAAATAAACTATTATCCTGCTTTTGTTATATTAATTTCAATCTTAGTTGCATTACGTTTTCTTCCCTCCAAAAATGGACCTTGAATAACTTATAAAATTCGTTAATTTTAAGCTTTATGACCTTGATCAACAAATATTGGATCTGGTAAATATCATTCAAAAAACATATGTTAAATCTCAATTAATTGTATCCATTCTTATATAAATAAAAATTATTACTAAATAAAAGTAAATACCCCTCTAAATCCTGTTAGAAATCCTATTTACAGATAATACACTAAAATACAGTAGATAAGTAGGAATTAATAATTTTATTTTCTTGATATTAATATTGTTCAAGACTAACAAATTAAAACAAATAATTCCTATTAGAAACATTATACTTAAAATATATATTGATAAAATAAAAAGTAATATCATTATAACACTAAAACTATTGTATAATAATATCTCAAATGTTTATATTATTCCACAGATGACAGCAATAATTCTGTTTAACCCTGATATCAATGGTCTAATAGACCGAGAGGCTATCAGGTAATTATCAATCTAATGATAATAATACAAAATATTTTTAATTATATTTGTAACTTACTAGTAATTAATTTAATTTTAACATGTACTGACCAGGATGGAGCAAAACAATTACATGCATTTACTGAAACGTTATATTTTNTGGAGCAAAACAATTACATGCATTTACTGAAACGTTATCTACAAATCAAGTTCAGCTCTATATGCGAGTCAAACGGAAAGTTTTTGAGACTTTTAAATAGTTTACTCTTTTTGGGCGCTTTTGACAAAAGGATACGACAAACACATGCTGGCAGACCTCGCAATCGGATCCCTGACCTCATACAAGAGATTCTTGACCTGGATAATAATTGTCATTATAATAGCATTAGTGAGACCGAATATAACATCACTATTCTTCAATGATATCTACATTTCATTAGTTTTCAATATCAGTCTATCATTAAGTCTATCACTTATTTATATTAAAAATATATTAATTTAATTTGGTTATTCACCATTCTTATTATTGTCGAATATTCTGTAATAATATTATTACTTTATAATAATAATACGGTACTAAAAATTTTATCGTAAACGAGAATTATGATTAATAATTCTTGAATGATTTTATTCTACATTACTTATAGATAAGGGTGCAAGGGTGAAAGGTTTCATAAAAACATTAAAGAATTAATATATTTTACTGAATTATTTAACCTGAAACCAAATTTCAGGGAAAATGTGGGAATATATGAGTTTGAAAAGTCAAATTCCTAGAAAATTATTATTTTTTAATTCTGATCATATTTAAAATAATATTAAAATTATATTTAATAGATTTGATTTTAATAAGAACCCTTAAATTTAATTAATCATTTTATTTTGAGTTTTAATTACATTTATAAGATAAGTAATTTTAATCTAAAAGTAAAATATTTAACTCAAAACAAAATATTTCGCTGAAATCTATATTATTACTGAAATTTTAAACCTTACTTATAAGATTCATACTTATAATCTATTTTTTTATTATTGTTATATAACTATGATATATGATGTAATTTGGGTAGAAATGACATCAATATGATCTTTTACAGTAAATAACTATAAGATTACGTATACCTACAAATAACTAACATAATTCAATATCGTTATACAATTTACACCTGACAATAATTAGTGGTGTTTGTATTGTATTATTTTTAATGTATTTATAGATTATTATAAACTAATTTAAGACAAAACAATAGTTCTATTATTAATTTAAATAGACAATATTTTATTAAATAGGTGAACCAAAATTGTCATTATTTTCAAACTACATTCGCAATAAAAATGGTGAAAGGTATCTGAAAATAAAATACCTAGTATTTTTGATAATTAAATAAAAATCCAAACTTGATCAAGT